GTGTGTGTGTGTGTGTGGGTGTGTGTGTGTGTGTGGGTGTGTGTGTGTGTGTGGGTGTGTGTGTGTGTGTGGGTGTGTGTGTGTGTGTGGGTGTGTGTGTGTGTGTGGGTGTGTGTGTGTGTGTGGGTGTGTGTGTGTGTGTGGGTGTGTGTGTGTGTGTGGGTGTGTGTGTGTGTGTGGGTGTGTGTGTGTGTGTGGGTGTGTGTGTGTGTGTGGGTGTGTGTGTGTGTGTGGGTGTGTGTGTGTGTGTGGGTGTGTGTGTGTGTGTGGGTGTGTGTGTTTGTGTGTGTGTGTGTGTGTGTGTGTGTGTGTGTGTGTGTGTGAGGCGCCCTCAGAAGTCAGAGCATTGGATCCCTCCGGGGCTGGAGTTACAGAAGGTGTGAGCCACCTGCTATGGTTGCTGGGAACTGAAACTCAGCTTCTTTGGATGAGCAGTGCATACTCTTAACCACTGAGCCATCTCTCCAGCTCAACCTTGCCTATTTTAACACAGTCCTTTCTGTCCCGAGTCTCTGAGCTTTGAAGTCCCGGGGGTCTAAACAAAATCCTTAACCCCAGCAGAACTACTTGTGGGACTCCACAGGGTGCTCAGCCTCTTGGGAGTCTGCAAGGATTTCATAGAGTGGCAAGAGTTAAATATGAAACAGGTAAGCCTGTTAGAACAATGCCTGGTAAAGGTAAAGGGCTTGATAACTGCTAGGAACTCTAGTGATAGGAAGTGGGTTTTCTCTACTTCCACACTAGTCTGAGTGTGTCTGCTTTTCTGGAAAACCATGAGGTACAGATTCAAGGAGCTGCTCCCCACTCTCTGCCTCCCTGCTCAGCAGCCCACCTTCCTCCCTCCGTTTGCTCTGACCAATGGAGGGCATTGCTGTAGCCTTGGCAAGGCCACCAGGAGGAGCATTTGTGCCACAGAAGACAGTTCAACTGGCAACAAAAAGCCTCAGTCTTCTGACTACCTCTTTTCCCTCTAGAGAGAACTGCTTGCATTGTGCTGCGTTGGGATGGCACCATTGCCATCTTCCTGCACCTACTCTCCCCTCTCCCCTTAGCATGGAGCTTGCTAGTTCTGCGTTTAGCCTGCTATAAAGGAACAGATGCCAATGGGAGCTAGGAGCTTTGTTTATGAAACCCTTGACAGTCTGTTTCATCACCTATGAAAGGGAATGTTCTTTCCATATGAGTCTCAGTGAGGTTCTGTAAAAATGAAACACCTTGACATAAGCCAGGTATCATAGCACACTTGTAATTGCAGCACTTAGGAATCTAAGGCAGAAGGATCGTCAAGATCTCAATGCCAGCCTGGGCTACATAATTAATAGTTCCAGGTCAACCTGGACTACAGAATGAGACCTTGTCTCAAACAAAGATAAATAAATGCCAAATTAAACAAACAAAACCACTTTGTGAAATGAAATAGGTTAGACTCATTTAGTTTCCCCAGGCCCTCCCTCCCACCTGCTGTCTTCCCCAGTGGACACTCTGTGCCCAGGAGCCTGCACCTTGGGCTGGACATGATCCTAGAGTATCTTGTCTCTGCTTCCACCAATAGAGGGACCGGAACATTGTAAAAACAGAGGCGGACTCTCTTCACGCAGAGTCACAAGCCTCTTCGCACAAGAACCATCAAGAGCAGCCTGTCAGCAGGAATTTCTAGAAACAACTGGAGCCACGAGCTACCCTACAGGCTTGATATTTTATTTGAAAGAAGGAGTAGATTGGTAAATAATGAATGAATAAAGCTGGGCATGATGGTATATGCCTGTAAGCCCAAAGCTTAGGGGTGGAGGAGGAGAAGCAGGAAGTTCAAGGTGTTCACTGACTACAAAGCAAGGTCTAGGACAGACTGAGTTATATAAGACCTGGATCAAAAAATTAGTACATAAGCACGAACTAATTAATAAGTGAGTAAACGTATAGATGAATATTGAAAGGTAGTCCTTCCCTACGGAACAGTATTTTAGTCTTGGAACACTAGGTGGCAGCACAAAGCATCAAAACAGGAACCAAAGCTTGTTCAGGCTGCCACTCTGTCCGCTGTCTGCTTTGGAAGCTGCAATGGACAGGCGGCCCAGCAGGATCTGCCTTCTTTAGCATGGTGGGACCCAAGCCACCACTGTTCTGTCTCCGTGGCTTGGGATTCCTGATCTTTCTCACTTCCTCCAGGTATTACTGCTTCTCAAGGTGGAAAACAAAGAGAGAATGGACTGCTACTCCTCTCTGAATTCCTGTTCCACTTACTGTCTTTATAGTCACACATGTAAAGGACTTGGAATCGGACACTTAATGAATGCTAGGGGTTTCCATGCCCTTTAGAACTATGCCCAGTGTCTTACTGTCTACAAGAACTTACATCCACCCAGCCATTATACAAACATGCAAGGAACATGGTTTTCAATCATCGATCTCCAAAAGAAGTTCTTTCTCCTATACCTTTGATGAGTGGCCATTTATGGTCTTTTCTGGTTGTTTGGGGGGTTTTCGTTTGTTCGTTCGTTTTTTCAGAGATTCGCCTGCCTCTGCCTCCCAAGTGCTAGGATTAAAGGCATGCACCATCATTTCTGATTTTTCTAGTTGTTTCTATGTTTGGTTTTTGTTTGTTTGAGACAGGATTTCATGTAGCCCTAGGTGAGGCTGCCAAGATAACTTTGAGCTGTTGCCGCTCTTGCCTCCACTCCTGAGTTCTGGGATTCAGGACATATACCACCATGAGGTTTGCATGTTGTTCTACATGCCCTCCCCTAATCTAACCTACTCCCTTCTCATTCCCAGTAACAGGTTCTTCTGTACCATTGGATAACCATTCCCTTCTTCTGCACGGGTGGCCAACCAACAGATAAAGACAGATGCCAATTGTCCATGATTCATTTTTCCCCTTACAGTTCTTCACTTAAGAAGACATCCTCTTTTTCAAGAGTTGTTTAAAGTTTTCTTCCCATATGTCAGGCACTTTACAAGGTTTTTTCATGTTATCTCATTCAATCCTCACTACATTGTACAATAGACATCAATCTATTCTATGATGTGGAAAATAGAGTGGGCAAGGCTAAGTAACTAGCCCCACCCCTCTTTAGACATACCAAAGCCTCTGATAGCACCTCTTCCAGGTGCTATCTTGTACAAAGTCAGCCTTTTGCTACAGATGGAGCTAGTCTGCAACTAAGGAGCTTTGGTCTGGATGAGGTTCTTCATACAGCCAAGGACCATGTTAGCTCTGAGCAGTCACATGACATGGGTGACTCATAACAGACTTATGGTACCAAGATGTTTGAGCATCTTTGAACATGGTTTCTCACACCACCCGCCTTCTCCTGTACCCTGTATGTTCCAGGTCCCACCTATCCTTCAAAGATCATCCAGCTCATACTTTGAGATGAAGTCTTGTCTGATCCACATTTCTACATTCCAATTGAATTTGAAGTCAAAGTCTCTCTCTCTCTCTCTCTTTCTCTCTCTCTCTCTCTCTCTCTCTCTCT